CCCAATTTCAAAGATTTTCAACAAATTTCTTAGCTGGATCCAAAGCAAGGCTCGTAGTTTGGTAACGATTGGTAAAGTATCTACTAAGATACAGTATGTCATCATAAGTGGGTGGTTTCACGCCCCTTTTCCAAAAACTTAATAATAATATTATCTTGCACCAAAATTCTACTTCACATACCGATTTTAAACAATTTTGATCCAATATTTACTGAATTATCATATATTATGCATTTTTCGAAAATACCGTTATATGAGAAAGGGGCGTGGTTAAAGTCCGATTTCGCCCATTTCCAATAGGAACCTATCTTGGATAAATAGCAAGCTATATGCCAAATTTAGTTGAGACGTGTCAATTTTTGCTCGAGCTATCGTGTACAGGGAAAGATGGACGGACGGACGGACATACAGATATGGCTTAATCGACTTCTCTTTTCATTCTGATCATTTATGTATACATTTGTCTATATCTATCTCGATTCCTTTAGGCTATTACAAACAACCGTTATGTTTTAAATTAAATGTTCGTATGAATTGATCTCCAGTTTCAGGGTCGATTACCCCACTGTGTACTAGTTTGTTAACGGTTAGTTGTTAATTAAGTCGACTATTTTTTTTTTTTTATGAATTAACATTTTCTAATCGATTAACCGATTAAGTCGCTTAATAAGAACACACCTTACAGGGCTTTTACACGAAATGCATAGCATATGTAAATGCTACTTTTTTGTATATACTCGTATGTACCATATATTAGAATGTAACATAAAAGTAGCATTTACATTTGGAAATACATGTCGTGTAAGAATACTTTTACTAAAGTCAGAATTGGTGAGTAAATTGTTGTGATCGGTTGTGTGCGAAATATGAAAAATAACGCCGAAAGTGAGTAATTTTAAGCTCTATATTGCATTTTTGTTAAATTTAATATTTAGTTTAAATAACGCTTCGTTTTAAGGGTTTGATGGGTAGGGTTTAGTATGCAGCCACACTCTTTGTTTTAAGAAAAGCATTTGGAATTAAGTAATGAAACTTAGGGAGGAGGAGAGGAAAAAATATGTAAAAAATATAGTTGTTTATAAGTTAATAGTTTTTAAATTTGTTAAGTTCATGCATTTGACAAGTACTTGTATATATATTAATTACCATAACACTCCATTCAATAGCTTACATTCGTTTATTTTTATTTTATCTTGCTTAAAAATCACGATAACTTTTATTAGCTTGTAAATTACATCAAATTGTATTCATATTCACAATACCAAAGGGTTGCAAACTAACACACAAGATGTGCTGACTTACTGTATAAAACAATAAAACAGAAGGCAATATATAAAAACGAATATATAAGAAAGCAAAGATATTTAATAAATATGAAACAATATGCAAAATATGCAATATGTCCCTCTTCTATGGCAACACAGAAGGTTATAGTTCCTAAGCGCGGCCGAAGGTCACCTACGCGGAAAGGAATTTAACCCTTAATTAGGTGCATAAAGAAAATCGCAAAATTAGTCGCATGGGGTCACTGGGGTTCCCATTAAAAAAAAAAAACTTACCTCCCCCAAAAAATGTTACGTTAGTGGTCGCTTGCGGTCAGCACTCAAGCGAGTAGCGACACATATGAGCGAGGGTGTTCTAGCCATGACTAAATAAATAAATATATTAGCTATTTATTATAGTTAACTTAAAGAAAGAAAAACATAACTTTGATTTCAAACTTAAATACAAAAATAAAAACTTACTTCCGCCAAAAAATGTTACGTGAGTGCTCGCATGTGGTCAGGACTTAAGACAGTAGCGACACATGTGTACACGCCGATGTTTTGGCAGTGACAAATTTACGTACCCCGCGGGGAGATAGGAAGCTAGAAAGAGCGCGAGCACGCTCCAAGCACTCCAAGACATCTTTTTAACTTGAAATGGCCTTAGCCCTATGCGCCTAATTAAGGGTGAACACCTAATAATAATATTTTAGTATATATATAGTGAAATATAAAACAATATCCGTTCGTTTATCTTCAAATTGATATGTGTTTTCCGTGGATTTCTACTCATATTGAGATTTCATGTATACCAATAATATAATAATATAGATATTAGACTGCACCACCAAAATAAGTTGCGGTTTTTCCGCCGGGATTACAAAATTTATTATATTTTAAGACGTCCACCAAAATATTTCGGAAAAATATTAAGCGAGCTGGATCGATTAAAAAATACCTCCAAGAATGGAGTTTTTTATGAATACAAATAGTTTCTTAAAGAAATTTTGAAAAAAGTCCCCTCAGATGACAAAACAGATTAGGCTTAAAAAATCTGCATACAAATATTAAAAGATCTTTTCAACGGAATCGTAATAATGGGATTTTTGATGCTGTTTTCTTTTGCTTTTTTTAATGATTGATTTTCGAAAAAGTTAAATAACTGGGCCAAAACTATTCTGATGTAGACTTATGGGATCTCGATAGAAAGGTATTTTCCCACTATTTTTATTTATATGCAAAAAAGGTCATTCGTGTCCCTTTTTTTCAAATACCAACACATCTTAATTCAAATTTGAATGATGATCGTTCATCCTACCTTTCTCTTTCATCCTTTGAATGAGCTTATTAGCAAAGAAAATAAAAAGGATGAGAAAATACCTTTCCAATGATACCTCACAAGTCTAAATTGGAAGAGTTTACGTTCAGTTATTCAAGTTTTTCTTATACCAATCTTTGATAAAAGTTAAAAAACAGCATCAAAAATATCATTATTAGGATTCCGTTCAAAATTGTTTTTATTTTTTTAAATATTTTTATGCAAATGGGCGTAGCCAAGTAGGGCAGGGGGGTGCTTGAGCTGTCCCCCCCCTAATTTTAAAATTTTCCTTATATATATATAAAATAGTACCCTGAAATGCCCGCTTAATAGGGTCGAGCCCCCTCCCCCCCCTAAATTTTAGTCTGGCTACGCCGATGATTCTACCCAAAAGAGAACAAGCGGCACTGTAAATTGGGTTTGGTGGAGAACCACGAAGAACGAACAAAGGAATAGGAAAGCCTTCTCTGCGTTGAAAAGACCAGGTCTCCTTCTCCACCTTGGTTCCACTTGGCATTTACAATTGGCGCATGTTGGCACAGAAGAGAAACTAATGGAGTGCTGTTTTTGACTCGGCCACTACGTTCTTATCACAGTTTTAAATCCGCTATGACCTAAAAAAAAAGGTTAGAAAATAACGACTTTTCGGGGAGTCAACTATTCAAATAAGATTAAATTGATTAGACATCTTACGCGATTTACCAATGAGTGACTTGTCAAAGTTTGAGCAGTGTTACCTCATCGAATAAGTTTTAGGGAGAATGAAATAAGGTATTTTGTGATAGGGTTCAAAGTGAACTTGTTTTACTTCCAGGCAGTTTCATTTTCTGAGTTTTCTGCAAGGTCAATTTACTGGCTCGAACTGTCTCAAACTAATATCGGTGCTTTTTAAATTACCTAAATGCATTAGTAATTGTTCCAGAAAAATTATGTTTTGAAAACTAAATTATGTATACACGTCAAAATACTCATTCTTCCAACTTTATGGCAATCTAAACAAATCGATGACCTAAAATCTACTCCACAGATACTGGTTTTCACCTTTATAGAATATGTAATTTAAAAAGTTGCGGAACTGCCGCGTCTTCATCGCAAAACGTCACATAAAACCATGAAAAATTGCCTTAATGGACGTAATACGCACGCACAAAAAGGAAGTGAAAATAGAAAAGCGAAAAACGAAAAACGTTTGGAGATGAAAAAATAAACAATTTGCGATAGCGTAAATTTGATTTCCGAAACATAAACAGTGAAGCAAGAACCCGTCGCGACGCACCGTCACCAATACTCTTCGCAGGAAGGCATAACACAAATATGACAACAACCTCGGATAAAAAAATTGGCACAGGTAGCGTGGAAAATTGCAAAAAATGAAATCATAGGTAAAAAGTAAAATATGAAAATCCAAACACTAAAAAACTTGCTGCATTATATACAACAACAAAAAAATTAGTAAAGCAAAGCAGGTGGTCGACTTGACGCATCGAGCTGTGTGAAGGGGAATTGTTTGGAAGATTTACAATTTATTTGAACGAAAAGTAAGCAACTGCAACAACATGAAACTCAGCAGCCCTTCAACGCGATAAACACACAGCCCAATTGCAGGCCCCGAGAACCCGCTGAGCGCAAAGCGGGTGCTAGCGTTTTCACCCTTTAGCCACACCAACTGTGGAGAAAGCATTTTGCCAAAATTTCAAACGGAGACTTTAAGAATGGGAACAAAACATACATAGAACGTTGAAGTAACTGCCACTGTGCGATTTGAGATGGTCTTTAGTCGATATCCCGTGGCGCCGTTGGGCAATCCTTGTGTCTGATATTGACGAGAATTCCACATTCCACCCGCGCTGCCGCGCAGCCTAATAGTTTGTTGTGATTTTACGTCATCAGCCAGGGGACTTCTTTTGTTTACACTTGCGTTTCTAAATCATGCGAGTGTGTGAGTATATGTACATGTTCATATGTATAATGGTACAAAATATGGAAAATATTAGTGTCAGGTCGATTGCCTCAGAGAAAAGTACCGTCAATATTCGAAACACATACAACTTTCGTCACTCTTTTTAAATTTTACAAAAGAAAATAACACAAGCCTTTAAAAGTGCACTTATCCGAAATTTGTAACTTTATTTTTAAGTCCACAAACTGAGTGAATTGGATTTCCGTAACCTGTCAAAATATGGAAGCGATAATTTAAAATTTTTTTTATTAATATGTATAACATAAATAAATTAAATTATCAAATGGCGATCATTTCTAAAACATTATTAAGTGCAGCAGGGACTGGCAAGGATGTTTCCAAAATTATTTGTTTGTTAATTGAGGCAAAACTAGTACCACACTTATTGCTTTACACTTCTTTCTAATATTTGTTCATAATTTTTCTAGTTATTGTTCCTGTTTTTATTTTGTTTTAGGTCCTAATGGTTGTCCGCGCCGGCGCGGTCGTCAAACTTACACACGCTTCCAAACTCTTGAATTGGAGAAAGAGTTCCACTTCAATCACTACTTAACACGCCGGCGAAGAATCGAAATAGCTCATGCGCTTTGTCTCACTGAACGTCAGATAAAGATCTGGTTCCAGAATCGGCGAATGAAGTTGAAGAAGGAACTACGCGCAGTCAAAGAAATTAACGAACAGGTGAGTAACCGCTATATATTTCAACCCGAAAATCAATAAAACTTTAACAGGCCTATCACAAATTTCGAGTGAACTCCCGCCGTGAAAAAATCTGCCGTCACGAATTCGGGAGAAATGCTATCAGCAATTTCGATGCATTCGTAGTTAGTGCTGCCTTTGGTTTTTGTTTGTTTTTATGTTTTGATTTAATAATTCTAAATCAAAAAAATCAAAATAAAATAACTCGAAACCAGTGATACCATTCTCACGAATTTCGAATTTGCGGGAGAATTTCGTGATCACGACGGAAGTCATGATAGCGATTTCCCGATGTGACAACGTCGGGATCTCCGACGGAATTCATGATAGACCTGTAAAATCGATACAAAACAGACATGTTTCCTATTTTAGAAGAGTGGATATCAAGAAAAAAAATATTACCGACTTTCTTAATTTTTGCATTGTTTTTTAACTGAATTTATTACGTTTAATGAATTATTTTATTAGACCAGGTCATTCCCCATCTATCCGTCACTTAAATTTACGTGTTTCCCATGCTGTAAAAATAGCCGAAAGGTATTTTTCATCATAAGTTTGTAATTTTTGACCCGATTTAAGTTATGGTCGATCATTTAAATATACTTTTTGAGAACTATTGACCATTCTGACGTCATACAAAATCACAACATACTAAATTTTTCGGATTAGTTGCTCACTTAATTTTAATTCAGTGGGTAAAAGTTTAAATATATAATTCACTTTACTGGTGAAGGACGTATTGTTGGTCAACATATATTCCAATTTACAGTTAGTATTTAAAATAGTCTTTGCATCGATATAAATATGTATGACACACTTCGAAACTGGGTTAAGTTATGCACCAAACATGATATAGTGTGGCGACTAGCAGGATTTTTTTACACCAATATCCTCTCTCGTAAATGGAAACAACAAATTCTTCACAAGAATTCCACAGAGAATCGAATGGGAAGGTGCCACAAACCTACACGGCTATCTATACAGACGGTTCTAAGCTAAACGAAAGAGTAGGCATCAAAATTAACTCCAGCGAACTTGTACTAAACCCCAGTTTTTCGCTTACCGGACACCTGTAGAATTTTTCAGCCAGAGCTAAACGCCATTATGGAAGGCGATCGGTGGCTCGCAGCTTCCGCCCTTCCAAAACTATATACTCTGAGAGCCCAGCTGTTATTAAGTCTCTAAAATCCAAACACATATTAACCCTGGGACGGTAACACATAATTAAAAAAACACACACTGTTTGAATGTGTTTTTTTTTTTTTATTAAATAAAAAACCAAAACGAATATTCGTCTTGATATCATAGAGTATTTAATTAAAGTTTTTGTAAAGAAAAAAAACAAAAATGGTTTAGACACAAGCTAAACAAAGTCTCCTTCGATGTTCAGGGCAAGCAGGCCTTTCACACTTTGTGCAAAAATTTTGATTTTTTTGTCGTTTTTTGGGCATAAGCCCAATTTAGCTGGTGACTCGCCCAACATTCAAATAACAATGTCTTCTTTTATATACGCTAAATTATATCATACGCATGGGCGTAGTCAGGTAGGGGCAGGGGGTGCTCGAGCGCCCTCCCCCCCTAACTTTCAAATTTTCCTTATATATATATAAAATAGTACCCTGAAATGCCAGCTTAATAGGGTCGAGCCCCCCCTAAATTTTATTCTGGCTACGCCGATGATCATACACATACGTATAAGGTATCAGGGGTGACACAACACCCCACACTTATCTTCGCAACAACTACACCTTCCATATATCCAGGGGCGCACCCAGTAATATGTTTTGGTAGGGGTTTATACTTCCAGAGATATATCACCAGAAAATACTGAAAATTCGCTTCAGATGCTCTTTAAAATACATATATGCAAATTCTATATAGTATGTAATAAATAAATACTCTTTTTAAACTTTCATAAATTCCACTTTATTTACATAAAATTAACAAAGAACACAAACATTTTAAACCGACTCCAAAAAAAGGGGAGGTTATCAATTCGTAGGAATATTTTTTCTTTTTTTATGTATGCTACCGCATAACCTTGGCCCACGTGAACCGATTTCAAAACCATTTTTTATCGGAAGGATGGTACCTCACTGGTCGTCCCGTAATTTGGTTTAGATCCGATCATTGGATCATAAAAAATTAACGGTACTCTTAAATCTGTAATGAGAATTGAAGTCGGTGGTTTTTTCTTGCTTAAAAATTATTTGTTTAATAAAAAGTGCTATAAACAAAATATGCGCTCAACTTTCTTAAGTAATAAAAAATGTTAAAACAGAGTTTTAATGTTTATTTTTCTCTAATTCTGGTTTCTGATTTTCAATGGAGATAGTGCCTAATTTTTTTAATATTTCGAGTACCGAGATAATTAAATGAAGGGTCATTTCATGTAAAAGAGTAAAACGCCATAAATTTAAATATGCCCTAATTATCACTATTTCAGCAATAACCCCTTCTTACATGACAACATTTCATTTACCTGTTGAAAGATATTAAAAAAATGCGAAGAAGTTGTAATTTTTGTCTATGGAAACTTTTATTTCATGCATAATTGCTTTACACCAGTCACAAGATGTCCCACCAGACGCAACTCAAAATATATTTTTTTTTCTATGAAGATTATATAAACCTAATTTTTATAAAACAAAAGTGTATAATTCATATTTCACAATACAAAAACATCGTTCGTGAAGATTAAGTGTTTTGGTTAAAATTCATCTTTGAGTGCAAAAGGGTAAAATAGAGTTATTTTCAGTGTCCCACCAGTCACATTCATTCAAATGATAGTTACATAAAACTAAGAAATCGTTTGGAATTTTTGTTAAATCAATTTTATACATTAGTTATCGTTCTATGTTAAAAAATATCTTTCGCTGTTTTATAAGTTGTGACGGCATACACTAGCAATCAAAAGTGAGTGCATGGTGTTTTTTGTTTAATATTGGCATTGTTGAAACTATAAAAAGTCGTGATACTGAACCAAAAAATTGTGGATTGCTGTTAATTTATTAGTCATTCAATTATCAGAACTAAAAGAAATTAGTATGGAAGCACCCCTGAGATACCACCTTTCCGATAACAAGCGGAAACGGTTCACGTGGTCCAAAGTTATCCGGTAACATACGTACAAAAACATATTCCGACGAATTGATAATCTTTTTTGAAATCGGTTGATTCTTGTCGGCCGCTGTGGTGTAGTGGTAAGCAGTGCGCGCTTCCACTCCACAACACCTGGGTTCAAACCCTGGTCAAAGCAACATCGCAAAGCGATTTTGGCCAAATCCAAAACAGCACGCCAGTAATTTTTCTTCTGTGCCAACTGACGCCAATTGGAAATGCCAAGTGGAGCCAAGTCCTTCTCCACTTGGTCTTTCCAACGCAGAGGAGGCCTTCCTCTTCCTCTGTTGCCACCGGAGCCGCTGAATTTTAATTCGCTGCACTATATCTATATCGTTGTAAAGCTCATACAGCTCATCGTTAAATCGCCTGCGGTATTCACCCTCCCCAACGCGTAAAGGCCCGTAAATCTTTCGCAGAATCCTCTCGAAAACTCCAAGAGCCGCTTCATCAGATGTTATCATTGTCCATGCCTCCGCGCCAATCACCAGCACAGGCATGATGAGTGACTTATAGAGTGTGATATTTATACGACGAGAGAGGACTTTACTTCTCAATTGCCTACTCAGTCCAAAGTAGCACTTGTTGGCAAACGAAGTCGTCTACTTTTTCAAACTTGTAACTGTCAATAGTAACGGGTGTGCCAAGACGTGTATGCTCTGACTGTTTTCGTGATGACAGGAGATTCTTCGTTTTGTCCTCGTTCACCACCAGACCCATTCGCTTTGCTTCTCTACCTAATCCCGAAAAGGCAGAACTAACGTAGACCTTAAGGAAAATTAATAGGTGAGCGAAATTTTTACCCGCTTGGGTTATTTTTCCTTCTTTATTTAAATTAAACGATTTTGTTGAGCTTTAGGTTTTTTCTAATAAAAATTTGTAATTCAGTTTTTATTAAATTTTTACAAAAGCCTAGCTCATTGTAAAATAAACACCATAAAATCCATTTTGCAAAACTATGTACAAAAACGTGCATTTTTTTCCGAATAAAATGTTCTCAAAATATTTAGATTGAAACTTGCACTTTATTATACTATCTGCATACCAAAAAAATTTCTAAAAATTCCAATGCTAAAGTTATAAATTTTGGTGACATTTTTTTGAAGTTCGCGAATTTTTTTGACCAAGTTTAAAATGCGGAGTTACACTGGGTCTTTTATAAAGTGAGCTAGACTTGTATACAAAATTAATGGACATTAAATAATTAAAAGAAAAGTACACGAATCTGGTCCAATACTGCACATCTATTATTTTGTCCATGAGTTTATATATGATTATATATGTATGCTCATTTACTTCAATAGTGTCGTAACTCAAAAAACCAAACTCGAGAAAACGGCTCTAAAGTTTTGAATTTACCAGGGACCGCAAATAACGCTTATCCTTTGAAACTTCAACTCAAAAAATCACGCACAAAGAGAAATGCTACGCGCATAAGGAGTAAACCAATATATTTCTTATTACTCGGAGTACCTTCAGCGGCACTGATTTTTATTTTTTAATTTTTACTTATAAAAATCAAGTTTAATCATCATGTTTTGAGTTTTATTTTTTACTCACAAAATAATCGTTATGTTTTGAGTTTTACTTTTTGCTCGGAAAATAATCGTTACGTTTTAAGTTTTATTTTTTGCTCGGAAAATAATGGTTACGTTTTAAGTTTTATTTTT